CTCTTGCAACCCCCCTCTGTCCCATGACATCCCACTCTGCCTCTTGCAACCCCCCTCTGTCCCATGACATCCCACTGTGCCCCTTGCTACCCCCCTCTGTCCCACGATGTCGTTCTCCCCCCATTGCCATCCTTGTCTCCCATCTCCAGGCACAGAGGACAGGAACGGATCTTGTCTCGGCGAAGTTGGCGTCTACACGTGCCATGGGATCGTCAGCATGCTCCGTATGTTGAACCATGGAAGCTGGATGTGAAGTGCGACACACCCCTGCTAGCATCAATAGGCCAAGACTTAAAGGATTTCAGAAAAGCGCTGAACCTTGCACCATCTTGCAATGGGCGTGGCGAGGATATTAAAGATGTTTGGGTGAGTTGGCAATCTCTCCTATCTTAAACCCTTAAAAATGTTGCGCGGTCAGTGTTGGTAATACTTGTTTGTTTCCTCTCTCTGTTTTTGTTTTCTCTAGGTTCATTGGGAGCTGGCTATGCCGGCCGCAATCGGCGCCACTTACAGTCGTTTGCCGCACCGTATACGAGCTATTCCGAAACACCATGGCCGAGAATGGTATTCGGATGTCGCGGTCCAGGGTAAAGGTGCAGCTGGCTATGAGGAGTGGTTTGCAAAGGTGTTGTTGTTGTTCCATGCACAGGTTGGTGGAAAGACCCAGGATTACGCCTACATCCGATACTACGACCGGCTAGAAGCTCGTGACAGTACTACTCGATGCGTGGTTTTGAAGTCCGCTACGAGTACCGAGAGGTATCGGGTCATTGCAACTTCCAGCATTCTTCGAGTCGTCCACCTCATAAAGCCAAAGAGCAGTGAGGATAGGTGGCTAGTAAATAGGTATGCCTGGTTTTTTTTTTTTTTTTTTTTTTTTTTTTTGTAATTGAAGTATACATTAAAAAGGACAATGCATACAGCAATAGCAGTCGTAACTGAGCGTGAGGGCAGACACCTTGCGCTGCCCAGCGAGACAACTAGGGCGGTAAGAAAGCCCTCTTTGGCCTGTTCCAAATTGCCGCGAAGCTGGCCGACCAGCTCCACTTCTTGTCGCCAACCTCCCTGATCCTCATCAGCATCTTCTGTTCTGATTCGAAAACCCCTCTGACCCTCTTGAGCTTCCCCAGCTTGCCCGGCTTCACACATTTTGCTCCAGTCACCCTCGTGTACACCCTTGCATGCAGCCGAAAAGCCGTCCCGATTTTTCTGAGTACCCGCCGAGCTCTGAACCTCTGCCCACGAAAACTCGCATCGCAGCATTCCACCCACAGCTGGTGGAAGGTGATGGCCGTTAGTGTGGCTTCAGGAAAATCTGACGTGGTTCCAGTTTCCTGGAATAGTAGATCCCCGAGCGAGGCAGGTGTCCTTGTGGGGTTGAGCATGCGCAAAGCGCGCCGGAGGCCAGAGACCACAGGCTGAATCATCGGGCAGCTGAAAAGGCAGTGGTCTTGTGTCTCAATCTCCCCACAGTATGGGCACTTCGGCTTGCTGCTGAGAAAATCCGCCCTCTCCCCAACCTGAAGGTTGTGGTTGTGTATGCGCGTGAGGACATCACGCGGTCGGTTCGGGATGACAAGCGAGTTCCTGGTACGGATGACCCGCTCCCAATCTATCTTGCCGCTCCACTTGCCGGACCACTTCTCCTGCTTCGTAAGGACCGCATCTGGTTTGGCCCACGATTCCCTCAACTGCTTCAGGGATGACAACTGCCCATTAGTGAAAACCATCGGAAAATTGTTGCCGCTGCATGTTTCCTTCCTCCGCTGATGTCTGACAAGTTTTGCACTCCAGACACTGCGCCCTCTCCTCTGGCATCCGGGGTAAGCACAGCTTTCCACTCCTGTGGCGCTGCATCTAGTGCTTTGAGGGCTAATTGGGCTGAGTCCCTGCTGCGCAGCTCCCGCTCTAGCGTGACGATGTTTTTAATCTCCGCCGCACCATCCTGCCGTGCGGTTACCAGGTCCCCCAGCCTCGTCTCCCAGAGACCCTTAGCTTCCTTCTGCCCCCCCACCGGGTTTGTGCCGTTCAACAGCAGCTTACGGTTGAAAACCACCCTCTCCTGCGCCACCTCCTCTCTGCTACTGGACTTCCCAGTGTCTGCAATCGGAGAGTTCATGAAGGTCTCGCACGTCCGCAGCCACCGCTCGTTATCTCCCGGCCAGTGCTTCAGCAGCCGTTCATGAGCCAGAAACGTGTCCTCCCCGAGCGGTAATCCCGCCGCCTTGAGCATAATCTCTTTCTTTTTCCCATTCTCCTCCAGCAGCAAGCAGCCAATTCTCCTCACAGCAAGGCAGGCGAGCAGAATCTCTGGGTCTAAAACTCCGAGGCCTCCGCCAGCTTTCGGTGTGGTAAGCAGCCCCCAATTCCACAGCACAAAGCCTTTCTCCGCAGATGCATTGTTGCTCGTTAGAAAGTTGTGAATCAGCTTCATAAGCTTCTTCCAGATCTCCTCTATCGGGGGGTACACCTGTGCCTGATAGGCTATCCTCGGCGTGATGTAGCAGTTGATAATCACGACCCTTGCCGCAATCGTGAGGAACAACGCCTTCAACTTAATCAGTTCCACAATTATTTTTTCAAAAGCCCGCTTCCAGATCGGCTCACTGCTTCCGGAGGGGGTGACCCAGACGCCCAGGACTCTCTCCGCCTCATCCGCCTTAGCCCATTTAAAACCTCCCAGCGTGCCCGGTCTTCTCCCAATGTTGTGGCCGATCGGAAGGATCACCGACTTGCACTTGTTTGTCTGCAGCCCCAGACAGCCCGGCAAACCAAGCTAACAGCTTCTCAGCTCTCGCGATTTGTCTTTTCCCGTCCAAAAAAAGTGTCGTGTCGTCTGCGTAGCCGACATAAGCTAACCTTTGGTTTGCCTTGTTGCAGAGACCAAGCTTCCGTCGCTGTGCTTCCTGCGCTAGAGGCTCCACCGCGCAGAGGAACAGGTAAGGAGCGAGTGGACAGCCCTGCCTCACCCCGGATTTTACCTCCACTGCTTCCCCCAGCCATCCGTTAATCAGCAGCCTCGTTCTGGTGTCTTTGTGCAGACCTTCCACCCAACCAACGAATCTCTCCGGGTAGCCCATTTCCTTGAGGGCGCTGAAGAGGAAACTTCTGGACACCGAGTCGAAAGCCTTGCGAAAGTCCACCAGCAACATATACCAGTCTTCATTACCCTTTTTCGCCGCCTCAATAACGTCAGCAACCACGCCGATGGCATCTGAAATTCTACTGCTCCGCCGAAATCACCTTGTGCAGGTGCGGTTTCATCCTATTCGCCACCACCCACGCCAACACCTTGTACGTAAAATTCAGTAATGTGATTGGGCGGTAGGTATCCAGGTTCTCCTTCTCGCCTTTTTTATGGAGCAGGATGGTAACCGCTTCCTTGATGCTTGCACGAATAGATGCAGAAGCGGCGAAAGATTGCGCCATGCGGAGAAATTCCTTGCCAAGAACGTCCCAGTGCTTTTCAAAGAGCTCTTTAGGGAGTCCATCCTTCCCAGGGGATTTGCCGTCTGCGAGCGCTTTGAAAGCCTGCTTCACCTCTGCCTCTGACCAGTCAGCCGCAAGCTCAGCCGCGGCCTCTGCATCCAGCTTCCTCCCAGCAAGTGGTTTCAACTTCTCTTCCGACATCTGACCATCAGTACCAAACAGGTCTGTAAAATACTGCGTCGCGGCCTTCAGGATTCCGGGTGAGTCGGAGATCTTGACGCCGCCCACCGCCAGCTCCGCAATTTGTGTTTTCTGCTTCCTGACCTTGACTCTCGCTGATAGAAAAGGTGAAGGAACCTCCCCAGCTAACTCCACGTTTGTTCCCGTCATCACGTGAAGCCGGTCCCTTGACGTGTGATACTCTTTCAGCTGCACGTCTCTGACATGCAACAGGTCCCTCGTCTTCTGACAACCCGGGATCCGCATCTGCTCCTGGTGAAGCTCCGCCACTACCTCCGCCAAATGAGCCGTTGTTTTTTTCACCCTCTTGTTTTCCTCCTTCATGTATGGGCGTAACCCCGCGTTGAGTCTCCCTAAGAGTAGCTCGAAGTTTCCTTCCCCTTCCTCAGCCGCCTTTGCAAGAGCAGCTTCCACTGCCTTCCGAACACCAGGCCTGCCTATCGCCGCTGCATGCAGCCTCCAGATGCCAGGACCCAGGTGAGAAGAGGCTTTGATCTTTAAAGCGATTTTTATCCCAAAGCCGTGATCTGAGATGTATTCTTCCGGACGTATGTGTGTAGCTATGTCAGGTGCGGGAGAAGCGAGCAAGAAACGAGCGCGCGGTCGATGCGGGAGCTGGATTGCTTAGAGGTTGCGTAGAAGGTATATTCTCTGAGCTTAGGATGAAGCATGCGGAATGCGTCTGAAAGCTGAAAGCGGCTGCATCGTGAAATGAGTCTGTCGTTTTCTAAGGAAGTGCCTGATTGAGACGTCCGGTCTAATACTGGGTCTTCTACCATGTTCAGGTCGCCTAGAAGAACTACGTGGTCTGTGGTGGGGATCTGGTCAAAAGCCGTGCCGACTACATTCATCAAGAAGAACATCTGTCAGTTGCGTCCGCGGGGAAATAGGCAGCAATAAGGGTAAGAGTGAAACCAAAACGGCTGGCGGTGGCTACAATCAGTCTCCCTGATGAGTGGGTACTAGTGTTCGTGAAAAAGACGGAGGGGTCCCTGGTAAGAACGGCTACGCCTCCGGCTTTATCAGTAGGTGGTGTTGTCAGGACTGTGGTGAAAGATGGGGATTTCCAGTAAGTATGGTTATGTGGTAGTCTTGTGTCTGTGAGAATGATGATATCTGCTGCTGTTCTGGTCCAGGTTGAAACTCTGTCTTGCTTTGTTCTGTCGCCTAGGCCGTTGACGTTAAGGCCTGCTACGGAGAGAAAGTTTTTGTTACTCATTTGATAACTGCCTGGCAGCCCTTATTCATCCACAGGCTGAAGATGGTGACTACACTGACTACTGCGCTCCACCCTACGATCGCTAACAGCACTCGGTTCTCATTCTGCAGCCTTAGAAGTTGTAATCTTTCTTCAGATCGGCAAGGTTGGTCTTGTCCATAGAGGCTTTTGTAGCAGTACCCAGCTTCTCCTGGTTCAGCAAGTGAGTCGCAGATATGATGTGATCCGCAGCAGCCAAGAAAGTTTTTCCCTTCGCTTTCCCGCAGCACACTTGCGTGTAGATCCATTCTTCGCGGTTGCTGCCGGTCGAGATGAGAGCAATGGACGGGTCTTTCAGTATGGGGGTGACAAGAGCGGAGGTGCGCAGAGAAGAAGCTGCGAGCGCAACAGAGATCGTCAGTAAGAGTTGAAAAAGGTAAAGCTGTGTCGATAAGAAAATGACCGATGCAGTTACCGTTAATACTATGAGCCTTTCCCAAGGTAAGGTTCCACTTCCCTATATTGTTCTGCCGCACTGTGATGAACAGATCATGAAAGATGTCATAATCTTATCCATTGCAGAGCTGGCAGGACAATGCAGGGTAGTGGACCAGAATCCTCTCTCCGGACCCCATCGGGTTGTCAACCACATGGCGCCAGCGGTATCGGTCACCAGGATGCTGAACGACCAAGCCTTTGATCACATCGGTATCAGCTCCGGTGAGTGGGTGAGCAACCCGGTGGAAACCAACTCCTTCCTTGAAAGCCGACTGCTTACGCATCTTCAGCTCGAAGCGAACGACCAGGTCCTTCAAAACATCCGGAACAATGTTAGCAGGCACACGGCGGAAAATCACTTCAATAGCAAGAGGACGAGCTGCTTTCTCCTTAAGGTATGTAGCATCCTCCGTATGCTGCCAGATGCACTTGATCGCCGGAGCATTCGCCTTCTGGTACTCAAAAACGTGAAACTTGATGTGATGCGCATCCCGCTCATCCAGGAAGGAGATCTGAAGCCGGCGGAAACGCGTCTTCGCAACGAAACCAGGTGTCATCTCTTGTATGTTCGCCGTAACCCCAGCATTCTCTGTCAAGGACGAGCTCCAGACTTTCATCATCAGAAGTCGGACTGCAGCAATGATGGCCTTAATCTCCTGTGAAAGCACCATTGGAATGAGTAAGATTGCAGTATAGCGTAGACGGAAAGCATCTTCCTTGGCGATGTCGATTTCCAGCTCTTCATCCTCATCATCTTCCACGAACTCGTCATTCACGGTGGTAGGAGCCTGATTGTCCTGACTCTTCTCTTCCACCGTCAGCCCAGATCCACCAGCAACAGCAGCAGCCGTAGTGGCCGATTCCTTGATGATCCCAGCAGCAATGTCCGTGGCTGACGGAGCGTTAATCGTGATGTCCGATCCTTGCTTCTCAGCCCCATCCCCATCAGGAGACAGCGTGGTGATCGGGTCCGTTGAGAGGTCATCCGGAAGCGTGACATCCACGGCAGCCTTCGTCGTCTGTTTCGGAGGCATGGTGCGATGATGATACTCAGAGAGCAGCCCAGATAGAAATGGCTGAAAAGCGTGTGAAGCTGATACTGCTTGAGGACTGAGCACCACCTCCTTATAGCAGGTTCTTAGAGCGCGTGACTTGCACTCTTGGAGGAAATGATGAACTCCTGAGGTCCTTGCCTTGGGATCATGCCTTGGAAACCGAGTGGATGTGCTGTTGGACCAGGTCCGTTGGATAGGATCGTTGTATTATCGATGATCATATTGAAAGCCTGGGAGACTGCCGAAGGAATCAAGAAGCCCCTGAGGTTGGTTAGCTTGAAATGTGTTTGCAACCCTGAGATACACCTGAGTAGCCGAGGTTATAATGTCCGCGTAGTAGACATAAAAATTATATCCTCTACATGGTCATGTACTCAGGACCTCGGAACTGGTCTCAGAGTTACCAACTGATAAGTAACCTTCACGAAATAGGCTCTTGGAAATCAGCGGAGATATCCATGGCGGCCTTGTCATTGTCATTGATATGTTCGAAACACATCCGGCGACATTCAGGGGTTCTCTTGTTCAGATGTTTTGTGCTTTGCACGTAGAAACAGGAGTTATAATAAGATATGGGGAGCAAGAAACGGGAGTTTAATTAACAAACGGAGCTCAATGCAATTCGTACTAACGTCACAGCCTGTTCCTGCACAGATTTCGACCTTTGCGCGCTGCGACGCTTGTTTACCTATGCAAATCAGTTGCGAATGATCCCAAACCCATAGAGTCTCACCCTTATAGCTAGTAGAGGCTAGTGGGAGCAAGAAACGGGAGTTTAATCAACAAATGGATCTCAACAGAACTCGTACTAACGTCACAGCCTATCCTTGCACAGATTTCGACCTTTGCGCGCTGCGACGATTGTTTACCTATGCAAATCAGTTGCGAATGATCCCAAACCCGGAGATTCTCGCATCAATAGATAGTAGAGGCTATTTGGAGCAAGAAACAGGAGTTTATGAACAAACAGAGCTAAACGCAACTCGTACTGACGTCACAGCCTGTCGCTGCACAGATTTCGACCTTTGCGCGCTGCGACGCTTGTTTACCTATGCAAATCAGTTGCGAATGATCCCAAGCCCGGAGAGTCTCACACGAGTAGATAGCAGAGGCTATTTGGAGCAAGAAGCGGGAGTTTAATTAACAAACGGAGCTCAACGGAACTCGTACTGACGTCACAGCCTGTCCTTGCACAGATTTCGACTTTTGCGCGTTGCGACGCTTGTTTACCTATGCAAATCAGTTGCAAAGGATCCCAAACCCGGCGAGTCTTGCACTACTAGATATTAGAGGCTATTGGGAGCAAGAAGCGGGAGTTTAATTAACAAACGGAGCTCAACGCAGGTCGTACTAACGTCACAGCCTATCCTTGCACAGATTTTGACCTTTGCGCGCTGCGACGCTTGTTTACCTATGAAAATCAGTTGCAATTGATCCTGAACCTGGACCGTCTCACAATAATATATAGTAGAGGCTATTGGGAGCAAGAAACGGGAGTTTAATTAACAAACAGAGCTAAACGCAACTCGTACTAACGTTATAGCCTGTCGTTGCACATATTTCAACCTTTGCGCGCTGCGACGCTTGTTTACCTATGCAAATCAGTTGCGAACGATCCCAAGCCCGGAGAGTCTCACACGAATAGATAGCAGAGGCTATTGGGAGCAAGAAGCGGGAGTTTAATTAACAAACGGAGCTCAACAAAACTCGTACTAACGTCACAGCCTGTCCTTGCACATATTTCGACCTTTGCGCGCTGCGACGCTTGTTTACCTATGCAAATCAGTTGCGAAGGATCCCAAACCCATAGAGGCTCACCCTAATAGCTAGTAGAGGCTATTGGGAGCAAGAAACGGGAGTTTAATTAATAAACGGAGCTCAACAGAACTCGTACTAACGTCACAACCTATCCTTGCACAGATTTCGACCTTTGCGCGCTGCGACGCTTGTTTACCTATGCAAATCAGTTGGGAATGATCCCAAACCCGGAGAGTCGCGCACTAATAGATTGTAGAGGCCATTGGGAGCAAGAAACGGGAGTTTAATTAACAAATGGGGCTCAACGCAAGTCGTACTAACGTCACAGCCTGTCTTTGCACAAATTTCGACCTTTGCGCGCTGCGACGCTTGTTTACCTATGCAAATCAGTTGCGATTGATCCCAAACCCATAGAGTCTCACCCTAATAGCTTTAGAGGCTAGTGGGAGCAAGAATTGGGAGTTTAATTTACAAACAGAGCTCAACGGAACTCGTACTAACGTCACAGCCTGTCGTTGCACAAATGTCAACCTTTGCGCGCTGCGACGCTTGTTTACCTATGCAAATCAGTTGCGAACGATCCCAAGCCCAGAAATTCTCACACGAATAGATAGTAGAGCCTATTGGGATCAAGAAGCTGGAGTTTAATTAACAAACGGAGCTCAACGGAACTTAAACAAACGTGACTGCGTGTCCTTGCACAGATTTCGACAATTACGCGTCGCAACACACTTTTACCTATGCAAATCAGGTGCAAATTATATCAGACCCAGAGAGTCTCAGACAAAGAGACAGTAGAGGCTATTGGGAACAAGAGACGGAAGTTAGTAGACTCGTAGGTAGATAGTGAACCGCTTACTACCGCTTAAAATGGCTAGTTACATTACATTGGCCCACACAAAGGAAATAGGTTACATCACAGTGGGCTTACACAGTATTGCACTATGTGGCATGTTCATGATCACAGTAGGGACATATATACCCTACGACTGTACATCGATATACAGGCACAAAAAATTGACAACTCAAGCCCTAAAACTCATGTTCATACAAGTAGATGTATTTTAATAATATAATGACTCAAGTTCCTAGGTATGTGGAGCTTTGTGGGGCCACAAATAGCAGCTTCATGACTATATATATTTATATATATAATAACAATTAGCACATCAAAACCCTGTGTTTTCAGGGCATTTTTCGAAGGGAGCCCAATGTGAAAATAGTAGGTAGAGTTAGGAGCCATAGCTAGGTAAGTCCTAGCTAGGCAAGAGAAGTTTAGGCAAAGGAAGAAGAGGGGGTTCACTAGAAAGCAGCAGGATACATATAGGAAACCCTAAGGGGTTGTACTCGCTATAGAGTACCCCACTGCAGGCTAGAGAACAATGACATTCTGACACACCCCCATAGCCAAAGTGGGGTGTAATCAGCAGAGCAAGCAAATCAGAACAAGCTCAGGGTGGATCACAATGTCACCACACATTCTGAGCACAAGTAAAAGAAGCAATAGTTTAAAGTTCACAATTATGAGCAAAGCTAGAGGCTATCGCAGAGGGCAAGTGAGGAGGAGGAGGCGAGAGTGAGAGGAGAGGAGATAGGAGGCGACGGCTGAAGCTGCAGACACACGGGCAACAGGAGTCACACTGGCACAGCGGCTACCGGAACAACGCTCCGGACTACTGGAGTAACTGGCTCCGCGGCTAAAAGTAGCGGCAGACGAGCAACGGACCCACGGGCGACTGGCACAGCTGGCTGCGACTGGGCTACCGGAGCAACTCCCCGGACTACAGGTGCTGCTGGCGACACGACGGTAACCTCAGTTCAACCTCCCCAAACAGTCCCACTCCCCCTGACACACACCCCCTGCTTCACCCCTAGCTCCACTCCCCCTTCACCCCCCTTAGTACCACTCCGACGGCTCCAACAGGTCCACCCCCCTCAGCGGCAGCTGCAGCACTGGGAGACGGAGGAGGAGGAGGAGCAGGGGACGGCACACAGAAGCTGCACCCCCAGACCCCCCACCCCCAAACCCTAATTCAGGAGAACGGGCAGCAGCAAGGGTGGGGCGCCATCAGAAGCACGGGGGACAGCGGGCAGCGCAGGGGCAGCGAAGAACGGGCCGCCCACGGGCCTGGCACAGCCGCCCGAACCGCGCGCAGGCGGCCCGAGCCGCGCGCGGGCCTGGCGCAGCCCGTACGGGCCGCGCGCGGGCCTGGCGCAGCACGTACGGGCCGCGCGCAGGTTGTACGAGCCGCGCGCAGGCCACGACGGGCGACGGGGGGCGACGCGCGGGTCCCCGTCGCCCGTCGCAGCGCCTCCCGGGAGCGACGCGCGGAGTGACGGGGCAGAAACCCGCCGCGCGCCTCGGGGCGCACGGCGGGCAGACAACCGCCGCGCGCCTCGGGGCGCACGGCGGGCAGAAAACCGCCGCGCGCCTCGGGGCGCACGGCGGGCAGAAAACCGCCGCACGCTCCGAGCGCGCGGCGGGATGAAAAATTCCGTCGCACGCCACGGGGCGTGCGACACAGAGAGTAGCAGTAGCAGCGAAAGCAGTGAGGTGGTGAGCCCACCCACAGGATCGACCCAAGGGGATCGACCTGCTCTGATAGCATGTGAAAAATAGTAGGTAGAGTTAGGAGCCATAGCTAGGTAAGTCCTAGCTAGGCAAGAGAAGTTTAGGCAAAAGAAGAAGAGGGGGTTCACTAGAAAGCAGCAGGATACATATAGGAAACCGTAAGGGGTTGTACTCGCTATAGAGTACCCCACTGCAGGCTAGAGAACAATGACATTCTGACAGTGAGCGGTTCAGATGTGCTGGGTTTCCTTATCCTCCAGTTTGCCGTTGTCCTGATTGTGCGGCAGATGCAGTCGTTCCGAGCCACGTCATCTTTTGCGCTGCTGCATTTTGTCTTGCCTGTGCAGCAAATTCTCGCCTACCTTTCCGAGCCACTCAAACATTTGCCGAGCTGGCTTTTGTCCTGACGGTATGGCAGATGTTGGCCTGCCTAGCCACTCGTTTTCGTCCTCACAGTGAGGCCGAACCTGCGCTGGTGTCCGTCTGTACGATAATTGGTTACTCTCGTGCACAGTATCGAATGTGACGAGGCGATGATTGTCTGTGGTCGACTGAGCCGTGACCTCGCTGGTCACCTTGGCCTTTCGAAAGGTCCACATGTATAGCTCAGCGAACACGCTGCTGAACGGCGGATATTCTGCTGAGCTGT